TGGGTGTGTTCCAAGGAAAGAGACCGAGCAGCTGCTTTGGTAGAAGGCTATGAGGCACGTTGGGAGCCTGCCTGCAGTGGGTGCTACAGCGCACGGCATTTGCATCAGCGATGCCAAGTGTGGAGACGGCAGGCTGGCTCTGTCACTTTTGACAAGGACGCGCTCGTTGCAAATGGGCCGACATTTTGCTCGCCACAATTCCACCTGGTACTTATGCCTTCTCTCAGGAATATGCCAAGCTTATGGACAACTCAGACGAAACTTACAAGATGGCCTGTGCCCCAGACCTGCTGGCGAATGCTCGGATTTGAGTTTGCTGGCTTCGCAGGTGCGAGCGAAGCACAAGGAGGCAGTTGGAATCCTGTGCCGCCCTGGGGCTACGCAAGCTTTCATTGGGTCCATGGAGGCAGTTCGGCATTTCTCATTCTCTGACGGGTGACGGGTATAAATTTCTGACCGGTGATGCGAGGAATGCAAAGAATGGAAGGTGAGTGTGGCAAAATGCGCTTGGTTCCAGAATCGTTTTGGCACTGACTGAGGCAAAAGGAGGACACCTTTGCCTACCACCCGGCTTACAAGCGCCCGACAGACAAGATGGGGCCTCAAACGCTGGGGGGATTGGAGGGCGGTTCTAAACTTGTGAAATGCGTCCAGGTGCTGAGCCTCCAGTCTTTAGGACAACCAAGACAAAACACATCTTAGGTTTTTCTCCAAAAGAGGGAAGCTTAGAGATGAATGTTTGGTTTCTTTAGAACCACGTGCCACTTGAGCAGAATCCTTCAGCGTGACATTTGCATGTGGCACAGCCGCCCAGGTTTGAGGCTGCATACTTCACTCCTGTGCCACTGAAGAAGGCTGAGGACATTAGCCTCGTGTCAAGCATGGCGCAGCAAGCGAGGGCGAAACGCCAACTCTGCAAGGCGGACGCGTTTTGCACAGGAGAAGAAGAACCCCGCCCAGGCCAAGATTGATCGACTGAGGAAGCAGGGCACTCTGTCACAGGCTGGAGCACTGCAGTCAAAGTCAGGGACCCTTTGAAGGTTCCAAACTTGGACGACTTTTTGACCCGGTTGCACTGCAAGCTGGGATCTTGCAGCATTTCTGCGAGGTGGGCAGCATCACCACTGGGGCAGCTTCAAGCGTGAGCCTGGACTTGCTTGAAACCCGTGCCTTTTGCCTCCAGCTAAGAAAGCAGGGACTGACAGAAGTGCTTTGGGTACGTCATGAATGCAGGGTCGTTTTTCATGCCATTGTCACCAGCAATTCATCAGAACAATGAGATGGCATACTGAAGGGTAGCTTTCTGATTGTGAAGAAACGCAGCTTCGGCCATAAACACCGCCACCCAACCTGAAGCCCTGATGGCATGGCTTAGACGTTTGCCGTGTTTGCTTTCACCCGGTGAGCGCACTTGTTTGAAGCGCTCGATGAAACGTTTGGCAATTCCCACGGCGAGCTCAAGGCCCTCAAGAAGCAAAATCAACAATTTAGATGAGTACCTGAACATCAAAAGCTTATTCAAAGTTGCTATGTCACAACGGTAGACAATTGGTCAGTTTGTCGCATGATTCTCATGCCAGGGCTAGACGCCCTGTGATCCGGAGAGGAGCAATGCAAGGTTGCAAGGTTGGCTTGTGCAGTAATTAGCTGCTGTCCCAGTGTCCATTTGCTAAGCAGTGGGCAAGGTCTGTGGACTGACAGTGCGAGTGTGGTGGCATATTTGGAGGTGTCAGGCCTGAGAGCCTGACACCAGCAGCTGTATAACAGCCAGAAGATGTTGCGTTTGATCCTGCCAAGCAGATCGAGCAAGAAATGTTGCTTTGGGTCAGCAAGAAAGTTCCCTGCGATTCAGTTTGCATTCACATGTGCCATGGTTGGATGAGCTCATGTCTTGGTCGAAACTTCCGGCAAGCATGGCTTCTTCCAGTGTTGCTCAAGTGCTCCTCGCCTCGCAGGCAGCGTTTTGCTGGGCTCACGCAAGATGCCTTGCACAGTCGCTTCTGGCCCAAGTGTACGGCCAAAGATGACTCGAGATACTGACCACTGCATTTACCAGACCAAGCCCTTCAAGCAGCCTGAAAATCAAACGATTGCTCCAATTGCTTGTGGTATTGTGGTTGCACATGCTGTACCATGCGCAAGCAGCTTGTACAAATGTGGCTGGTCCTCTCAGCCCAGACGTTAGCATTCTTTGATGAGCTTCAGTTGCCAGTAGAATCTGCCTCTGATGGCTAAACTGTTCGAAGAGATATTTCAACCTGGAGGCTGGACACAGACTGCCTTTGCACAGGCAGAACCCACGTGACGCAGAAAAACATGAAGACTGCCACATTTCTAGACCAACAGTCAAGCAGGCAACATAATCACTCAGAGGTGCGCGCACAGGCACACACGCACACACGCGCGCACGCACGCACGCACCCCCACACCCCCACACCCCCACTCCCCCACTCCCTCGCACCCCCGCACCCCCGCACCCCCGCACCCCCGCACCCCCACA